CACTGCCTGATATTAAGCAAGCCAGCGTGCAAACGATTAGTTACTTCATGGCCAGATGAGAGCCAGAGTAATACCTGAAAAGACTTCTGAACACTCAGTAAGATAGTCTACAAAGTGCCCTGGACATGAGATTAAAAAAAACCAACCTCAACAGTATTATCTTTGAACACTCAAAGATAGTCTACAAAGTGCCCTGGACATGAGATTAAAAAAAAACCAACCTCAACAGTATTTTCTTGTTTAAAATTAGAGCTCTGGTAACTACTTGGCTAGAGCATACAATGGTCTTGGTCTCACCCCCCAAAACAAGAAGAAAAGGAGAACCAAAAAGAAACTATTTTAGGTAGCAATACTAGACATTAGGGCACTGTCCACAGTGCTTACAGCATGTAAATACATTTATTCTATATGTAAGCAACAGAAATAGCACGAAACCCAAGGAACAGACATGTTTTGCTCTGTGGGCATCCCAAACTCCAACATATCTCATGAGTGTCTGCATTTCTGCCAGTGATACGGAAAAAAAAGAGTCTCTGTCTGCCATGGAAGCAAATCTTGACTCAAGAGACCTCTTGAGTGCCTCAAAACTTTTGAGATTCAGCACTTAGGTCTTGCACTGTTTAGCGAGATACAGTGGATCAGCTGTGATCAGAAAATTCAGAAAAAAAAAAAAAAAACAAACCCCAAACTTACCCTATACACTGACAGCCACCTTTACAAGAACACAACACAACAAGAACTGAAGAAAACTCAGGTGAAAAGGACTGCCTCCGATAGCGTTTCTTACTCGGACATTAAAGGTTTTCCTTGAAGTCAGCAGGTATTTTACATAGTAATGAAGAGATGGTGTGAAGAGCAGTGAAACTGCTACAGCACATAGCCGAAGGTGGACAACTAAAAGGATAAGCATTTAAAAAAGTGGTAATAACTGGAGGATAAGAAGCCTGCAGCCATTTTTTTTGTAAAAGTAGATGTGCTTACCTGACATAAAATGTTACAGTAACTCTTAAGAGTCTGTCTGCCAAACTTCTTTGCCATTTTTCAAGAGCTGCCCCACGGGAAAGCCTTTTCCCGAGCGATGTTGCTCACCGTGGTGGCGGTGTGTTGGAGCTCAGCCCCACGAGATGGCACTGTGTCCACGCAATCCAGGCAGAGGGACTGCTGCTGGTTTCTCTCCCACCAAAAATAATACTCTGAGCGTATCTGGCCACCCTTGCTTCCCACCCTCCCTCCTTGGGGCAGCATGATGAGGATGCTGAGGGGTGCGCACCATCAGCCCGTCCCAGAGCCCTCACCCCTGCTGCACATCCTGCCAGTGTGGTAACCCTGGAAACAAAAAAACGGAGAGCAAAATTAATGCAGGGGGAGTGTCAGGTGAGGTGGGAGCTGCCGCGAGCAGTGGTGGCAAAGCACAAGTGCGGAGCTGCTGGGACGAGGTGTGGCTCTGTGGAGGAAACATCCCTGTCCCTGGCACCTTCTACCTGCCCTGCCAGGGCTGGGGCAGCTTGCACAGCACCACACTGGGACACTGCAAAAGCTGATGGAGCAGGGGATGGAGAAACCATCCAGCCTGTGATTGCAGTGGGTGAGGGAAGGCTTCTGAGCAGTTGGGATGGAAGAAGAGCAGCTCCACCTCCTAGCGACGGCGATGCCGCTGCCCTAGTGATGTTCTTGACCACCATCTACCTCTGTGGATGCTCCTCTTAATCAGAGCATGCCTTTTCCTCTCAATAAATCCCCTTTACAGTGACACAGTAAAAGGAAAATGCCCCAGAATATTTTAAGAAAGTTGCTCATCTGTTTTTCTTGAAGGAGGCATCAGGGGGTAGGTCAGAGAGCTGGCAAAAGGAGCATCGACTTGTAGCAATACAGATTACTACGAGACACTTTCTGGCAAGGCCCCGGTGAGAAGGGTGCACATGCTGCCTACCTAGCAAAAGCTGAGAGCCGGGAGTACCAGTGAACCTGGGCATCAGCTAACAAAGACTGAGCTGAAGAGGGGAAGGGGCCGAAGGACAGTTCAGCTCATGCCTTGGAAGAGGAGCCACGCAGGAAGGACGCGTGGGAAGGGGGAAGAAACACAAACTAAGTACAACTGGTTACACCTGAAGATGGCACAGGAGGGAGAAAAGCTGAGACCTATCTTTTAAGAGCCATTTTAGAACTCCAAAGTGAGTAAAAAATGTAGGGAAAGGGCAGAGCTGGAAGCCCCAGTCGAAGCCTCCTGAAGTCGAAAGCAAGATTTCCATTAGCATTGCAATGAACTGCATCAGATGCTCAAGGTGAAAAAGATGGATGTTTGTGGAAAAGATGCCCTTTGGCATCACCACAGTCAGAGAAGGCGGGTCTTACGCAGGCAAAATGCAGACAGATGTTGAAAGTTAAAATGTATGTGTTCTGGTCTCCGGTTTTGACTGAAATGCAGGTTTTGCAAACTGCCGGGTTACCTCTTATGAGGAAGGGAGTGCTTTGTGATCACTGCCCAGCGGTCAATCAAAACCCCGCTGGTGTCAGGGAGCTGAGAAATTAAAAACAAAAAGTCCCAAGCCTATGGAAATGTCAAATGGGAAAAAGGTCAGATGAAATTTTCCTTTCATTTTGACCAATGACATTTTCAAAGTTACCTTTAAAGGTGCAATCTGGAAAGCCTTGGGGAAAAACAAAACCAAAAACACAAAAGAAAACAAACCAGCTCCTGTCTTGGGAAGCAGCTGAAGCAGGAATACTTGCGTGGGCAGGTTATGTGTGTGTGCACAACAGCAATAACCAGGGCCTGGCTGGAAACCTGGAGCAGACGTGCTGGGGAAGAAAGCCTTCTTTGCACCAGAAGTAGAGGACAGACAAGCCTGGCAGTAAAACTACTGTGATCCTATGTGCTGTCATGTACCAAAAAGTCAGTCTTTTCACTGAGCAGAAAATAAGTTTGCAGTGACAACCGAAAAAGCAAGAATTTGCTCCTTTTGCCAAGTTCCCACTTCACCTGTTTGTGGTGGCCAAGAGGGACGTGGCCGAGAGGAACCAATGTCCCCCCCGTCAGCCAGTGAGGACCTGCACCGCCCTGCCCAGGCAGTGGAGGGAGTGCAGTGCAGGCAGCAACTGCAATACACAGGATTTCGACTTCACCACTCCACCATCCTACACTGGCCCATGCAGCAGAGGCTTCCCTGGCTGCAGCAAGCTCAGGGAGAGCAGCAGAGATCCGCTGAGCGCATCTCACCCAGAAATGACCCAGTAGATGAATCCTAGCAGCCCTGACCACCACAAACATTATGGGAGGAGGTGGGTTTCAGTAAGAGTCAGTACCTGCGGCTCTATGGGAAGCTAACGGGAGCTGGTGGCTCTCAGACCGCTTCAAAGCAAAGCAAGACATACAGAGGCCCACCTTAGACGCACAAATCAGATGGTCAACGTCAGTGCCTCCACATGCTTGCACCCATGCTCCTGAAACAGTGGGCTACATGTATGTGGACTGGGAGGCCGTCACTGGTTCACAGCCACCTCGGGACAGGATTGCTTCTTGGAGCAACCTGGAGGCACCAAGGTGGTGCAAAACATCCCATGGAGGGGTGCTGTTTGGAGCCTTTGCGGTTGCAGATCAGTGACTTCAGCAGAGCATCACCAGTTTATACCACCTTTGCATTGGGCATGAAGCACAGCAATGCTAACATAAGGTGAGCAACCCTTGTGGGCTAGCAGAGGACTTTGGAGGAGGAGTACGACGGCTGGAGAAGGGAAGGACAGACAGCATATAAAGGGATGCGTCTTAGAAGACCTTCAGGAAGGGGACAACAGGTTCCATAAAAACGGGAATGATTCATTCTGCTGCTGACAAAATTAGAAATAAAGTAATAATGATAATAATAATAATAATAATAATGAAAAGGAAGATGACAAAGAGAGAGAAATAAAACCCAGGAAAGACAAGTGATGCAAATGAAAACCGTTGCTCACCACCAAGTGACCGATAGATCAGTGACTTCAGCAGAGCATCACCAGTTTATACCACCTTTGCATTGGGCATGAAGCACAGCAATGCTAACATAAGGTGAGCAACCCTTGTGGGCTAGCAGAGGACTTTGGAGGAGGAGTACGACGGCTGGAGAAGGGAAGGACAGACAGCATATAAAGGGATGCGTCTTAGAAGACCTTCAGGAAGGGGACAACAGGTTCCATAAAAACGGGAATGATTCATTCTGCTGCTGACAAAATTAGAAATAAAGTAATAATGATAATAATAATAATAATAATAATAATAATAATCCTTGCACTAGATACTAATTAGTAAATAATTATCATAGCAACTTCTCTTTTTAATTTTTTTCTGGGTTTCTTTTTTTTCCCCCAACCACTCTGAATTGCATATCCGGCCCCCTCATATGGCAAAGGGGTGGAAGGGTGGTGTTATATTATGAATTGAAAATCAACTCCGATCCTACGTTCCCCACTGTCCTACAGCTATTCTCCACACAGGTTCAGTGGGACTGCCTTGGGGAAGGAAGGGGATATGTGTGTTCCTGCTTAGCACCCAGAGTACCTGCTTTCCAGATGCACACCTCTTAAACTATGATTTTCTTGTTTGTTTGGTTTTTTTACAAGTAGGTCTAGGAAACAGAACAATGACAGGAGGATCATTGTGAGACAATCGATGTGCAGAATTGTAGCCAAAATCTGAATTCACCAGAAACCAATAAGCTGAAATAGCCACAACCAACTGTCCATAGCCTTGTCTAGAATGGCTTTAAACAAAAAATATAAAGAGCCATGGACAGTCTCCTTACCCCTGTCCAGAATTTGATGTAAACAACATCCATAGAAACTGGGATTGTTAAGAAAGTTTATCCATATATCTGGATAGCAATAAAAAGCGTTTCCTAGGAAACTGTAAAAACCTGTACCAAGCAGTGTACAGCCAAGCCGAGAGGAACATTAGGTTGATTTATATTTTCAAGGTACAAGTTTGCATGATTTCTTTTAGATCCTGTGATAATGTACAAGGAGAGCACGTGTGAAGGTCAGGGCTGGGTTTTTTTTGTTGTTGTTTGTTTGCTTGCTTTCTTCTCTGAAATGTCTCTTGTGTAACTCATTGGTCTGGGTTTTCATTTCAATTCTCGTTTGTAATAACAGGGCATTACCACTCCCTGCGTCTGTCCTTCCTGTTCACGGCAAGGCTGCATCAGTAATTTCCTTCTGCTGCCAAAGAAACGACGGTTTCGTGTCTTCCCATTTCTTCAAGAACCGCCGCCAGCATGCTCAGGTTGCCGTCAGGGAAATTCTGGGCTTCCCAGAGATCCAGGATCACCCCGGTGGGACTCGATTTAGTAGCAAAATAATTTAGGTACCTGCAACAAGCCAAAAGGAAACTCATTTTCTGAGCTGCATGAAGGCTACCTGAATTTTTATGATTTCAGCCCATCCCCATTGCTGGTGCGGTCAAGGTGCTCATCTCCTGTGCAGTCAGTCTGACCAGTCTGTAGACACATCTGCTGTCATTCATCTTCACCAGGACCCTTTTGCACATCCCTCCCAGGGGCCTTCACTGCCCGACCACACATAGGCAGCCCTGCTCACCTGTCCAGTTTCAGCTTGTGGGCCAGCATCCGCCAGTCGTGGCCCCTGGTCTGGGGCGCGTCCAGGCTGCTGCACAGCTTTTGCCTTATTGGGAGGGGGATGCTGAAAGCGCTGGGCCCTACTATGGTGGTGATGGTGCCTGCTGAGTCCATGGGGGGATAATCGATGCCAGTAGGTTCCTGAGGTTGGAAAGAAAGCAAAAAAATATAAAAATACAGCAGTTTTGTTACTGAGTGCAGAAACGATTGTAGAAGTGTATCCTCTGAGACTCAGTGCTTTTACTTGCATTAGAGGGGAGCAGCCCTCTGCTAATCAAGCATTTATGTTGATCAGCTGAAAAAGAAATATTTATAACTGACTTTGGGTAGACAGCAGATTTTTTTTTTCTTTTCTTTTTTTTTTTTTGGAGGGTGAAGATTACTGTGGCTGGACAAAATTGAGCCCAGCTTAATTAATCTCTTACTGGAAACAATGAAAGATCAGGCACTCTGACACATTTAAGAGCAAATTGCTACTACTAGGGCAGAGCTGGGCTTTCCTGGCTTGGCTGGCAGGACCCCCTTCCCGGCAGCCCCCCAAGCCCCCCATGGAGCCAGCACTGGGCTCATGCCGCTGACATCCCTCTGGCAGCACCCACGCTCTCTGAAGCCTCTGATGCAGGGCAGACCATGGAGAGACAGTTAATACCATCCCAGGCACAAGCTGATCCCTCATTTTCATGCAGCTTTAACTCTGTGCTGGAGATAGATGGAGCGTGTGTGCTCGGGCGGCGGCTGTTGGCCTCCATCCCAAGACCAGTGCTGTGCTCAAAGGTGGTTGCAGCAGTGTTTCAAGGGGAAAGTCACCTCCAAAGCCAGCCTGTCCCCTGCGGGTACGGGGTTGATGCTCTCTGATGCGGTCCTCAGCTGGGAGGCTTCCCATGACACAGTAGTAATGTGGCCCACTGGGAATAACAAGTGGTTGGCTCTTCTCGGCAAGGATTTTATCTCTTCCTTGGCCTGGAAGGATTTAGCACCCACAGGTAGATAGAAAGAGGGGCTCAGTAGCTGGTAGGACAAGGGTAGTTGGTCAATTTGGATGGTTGGATTTGCTTAGGAATGACAAGGTCCTGCAGGATGGCTGAAAGCCTTGCCAAACCCCATCGACACTGACTGGTCGCCCGACCGTGCAGCGGGGACTCTCCTCCCACACACAGCACTTGTCACCTCCAGCTACCAAAGCACATGATGGAAAAAGCAACAAGCAGGGCTGGGTCTCCTTTCATGCCTCTCACCCGCCTTCTCAATTGCTCTCCTTTGCAGCATGACAGACCTGAGGCTGGGCTGGCAGAAACAGGGGAACTGCTGCATCTCCACCTCTGCCCAAGTCACGGCCCCAGGCAGCCAGAAACACCCGTGCAAAAGACTCGTCCTTAAATGTCAATTTGTTTTCTCCTCTTTGAGCTGTCTTGTTCCTTCATGTCAAGCTGGCTGTTGGGAAGGCCCTGTAAAACCTGAAACTGTCTCAAAACCAGGTAACGCCCAGCTTAAGCTGCCATCGCAAATCCCCCAGGAAGCTTGTTGGAGGTGCTCACTGTCACGCAGTCTTTCGCTTCCCCCAAAAAAATGTATGCAGAGATGGAAAGGGGAGAGCCAGTATCCATGACCAATGAACAGAATTAAACCTCTTTTGCCTCCACTCTTTTATCCACACCAATTAATGCTCATCCACTCTATAAATATGCCTTTTTTTGCATTTTTTTTAATTTAGAAATGGCATTTTAGGCAATCAGTGAAATTTCTAACCAAGGAAGGTTTATGCCACACTGTAATGTCCTCAGTTAACATGCCCAAAGCAGTGCCGAATGTGGCATCCCTACTTGGGCGCCAAGGCCCTGCGTCGCAGGCCGGCTGGCCGGCCCAACCCCACCGCTTTGGGCAACGAGCTACTGTCCTCTAACTGCCTGGCAGCGGGGGCTGCCCGGGAGCCGGCAAAATGACTCGTACGCCACCGCTGCTGCCTGCAGGCTTACCCACGCTGGCAGGTCAGAAGCGGCTGTAGGGTGGTGACTGGTGGCATCACAGATGGACAACCTCCCCTTTTTATTCTGGGCCAAGGGACACAAGTGATACTTCGAGGCAGTGCTGCCCTGGCTCTCGAGGTGGCCTGCTGCCCCAGGTGCATCAGGATGGCTGCAGAGGGAGCCCAGGTATCCATGGCGGTGCCCTGGTGCTCTTTTGGGTGAGTACCGACAGCACAAGATAAAAAGGGGGCTTCAAAAACAAACGGTGGGAGACCTTTATCTCACTCTTCCTCTTGCCTCACAAATTCGCATGTTTTGGCACTCATTGCATTTGTATTTTTGAAGTCCCAGTGGAAGACACTGTATAAAGCCAGAATAAGACAGTTTAATCTGCAGAAGTTTTACATCCTTTACAGGGGACAAAAAAGAAAGCCTATAAAGGGAGGATGCAGGAAACGGTGTTACTATATTTTTACCACAGGGTGACAGAGGCAGAGAGGCAGATCCAGCAACAAGGAAAGGCACCAGCATGGTCCTGCAATGCCTAACCACTAGCTGCCTGCCTCCCCCACAAGAAGAGAATAATGTGTGCTATTGAAATCACCAGAAGCAAACCAAACCAGACACCATCTGAAAGCAGAGACCAAAACCCCTACATGACCTTGTTAGTCACCAGAAGAAAGTGTGAGGAACCACAGCTAAGGTTTCCTGATGCCTGGTCTGGTGTCTTTATGACAACAACCCCTTCCTCTTATGCCTCTAGAGGCATACACATCGGTTTCCAGGTTGCTGCTATTCCACTTCCAGGTAACTTTTGTCATCAAACCAGCTGAGTTTTAGGCTTTTTTTCTAGTAACAAAGTTGACACAACCTTGTATGCCATCCCTTAGCAGCCCAAGGTCCTCCTGCCCCTCACCTGGGCTCAGGAACATCACTACATGTCAACCAGGAGGAGCAATTTTGCAGTAGGCAGCCTTGGTAGTGGCGGTATTATCCCCTCCCTCTATTCATCCCTGATGGATGGGATTGCAGCACAAGACAAGAATATTATCCTGTTCCCTCTGAATCCATTACCAGGCCCTATTACACACAAGCAGCTGAAGATGATTATAGTGTATACTTGCATTTCATTAAAGTTACTCTCATTTCTTTCTCTTCTCTGTGAGGTTAAATTAGAGATTACCTCAATGCAGCACTTATTACAATAATTGTTTATGATACTTGTTTTACCATCTGTCTTTAATGCTGTGTAGTCCCCAGCTGAATATGTAACTTTACACCAAATAACCAAGCAGATGTTATGGGTAATGGCACACACCGCTGGGGCCCTACAGCACAAGTAACTTTTGTCTGTGGTCTCCCAGCCCTTCCCCAAATCAGCCAGCAGCGACTGCTGCCCAAGAGCCTGCTCTTTGTAGCTGCCAAGCTGCCAACAGCCACCAGCACATTCACTGAAGTCAATGCCACTTCACACCTGAACATGTCGCTTGGTCTCAGCCCTAAGCTTGACTGCCCCAAGGAGCGAAAATTCTCCAGGTGCTACGTAGCATCAGCAAAGATGTTCCAAAACTTATGATCATTTTTCTACTGGAAAATGTCAGCTGTCAAAAGAAAAATTGTTGAAGATAATAGTCAGGATTTGTAGCAGTAGCAAAAGCTGAGGAGAAAAGTCTATTGCAACTAGACCATCTGATATTCTGTCTTGCACAGCAGTTATTATGTGGGAACAGAATGGAGTGGCTCATGCAAACATATGGCAATGACATTTTCCTATTCTCCTTCCTTCCTCTCCAGGGAAATGTCGGGTATGATGGTCTTGTAGACTGCCAGGAAACAGGACCATGCAGTGCTTCACAAGATGCGTTAGGGAGTGGTAGTCAAAGAGCTCCTTCACACAGACACAGAAAGGTAGCACTAGCAGGGAGACCACAGCTGCCCTCCTCCCTCCCTTGAAGGGGGGATGCTTCCTTCCAGATGAGAGAAACTAAGGGAAAATGCAACAGGAGATACAAAGCAACGACTTAATCCATCCCTTATGTCCATCCCAGCAGTCAGGAGGGAAATGGGAAGCACTAAACAGGTAGTAATGAGAAAGGATGTACCTCCTTAGCCCTCCCACATTCCTGCAGTTGGATATAGAAGTACACGGATGTCATTTACCTCTGAGATGGAGCAGTTGAGCTGGAAGATCTGCCCTTCTCCTTCAACCTGCCGCACACAGAGTTTGCACACCAGCTCCAGGGTATTCAGGCTGAACCTTTCCAGCGTGAAGGTGCAGTGCAGGTTCTTCTGGCATCCACTCCAGATGTGGTAAAAGGGAATCTCCTGCAAGAGAAAAGCAAAAAAAAAAGGTATAGTAAGGAAGGGATGAGGGACCAGGGCACGGATGCTATATGACCAGAGACCAAGGGTTCCATGCTACTGTCACTGCAAATGGTCCAGGGAAAAAAATGTCCACGGCACTGCAGCCTGGCACTGGGTGTTTTTTAAACACCCCTGTGTGTCACTGTATTTCTTTAAGCCTCACTGCTAGGATCCAATGTGAATGGTTTGTGCTGCTCACCTGATATTTAGCCAGCAGTTTGCTCTTCCAGAGAGAGTGGGCAACGTCATGAATGGACAGGCGGAGGTTGTGGGTGCTTCCCTTAAAATGCAAAGCTTTGGGTTCCTCCAAAAGCTGCCCACCCATCTGCCGCTCCAGCTGGAGGACCTCCTGTGGTATGGTGATAACAAGAAGAAAGCGGTCAGGTTTCATTAAGACAGCACACTGGTCTTCTGATTCCTCAAGATTGACTCCTGTAGGCACTATAACTTGTATAATACAGAAAAAAAATGCACAGGCATTGCACAGACTTGTGTTTCCCTGTGAACTAGAATTGCACTAGTGGATCCGAGTATAACCCCCTCGCCCCCATCATACAGCAGCAGCCCAGCAGGGGTGCAGGCACCCATGTCTACTTTGGGAGACATGGCATTATCTGACATGTCCTATAAGCAGAAAGCTTCGTTGCATGCAATTATATTGAATGCAAAGACTTTGCATAAAGGCACTGTTTGAATACTGAAATATATCAGTCTTCTCCATCGCTCACCAAACTGGACATCTAATGGTAGCTTTACTATTTTGCTTTTGGAAGCTCTTATTTGCATAGATACTGCTGGTATGGGACCTGTGCATACTGCTGGTCCTTCAGCTTGCAGCCTCCTGCCAAACTGCTCCATGACAGAGCGGTACAGGAGATAGCAGATGCCTACTCTGAGACTAACAGTCAAGCAGCATGGTATAAAAACAAGAGCAAGACACCATGATGGAGCATTTTGTACATATGAATACATAGGTTCAGGGTTACTGAAATATTTATCTTGTAATTAAAAGCTAGTAAGCGAAGAGTCTGGTCATTTTCTGCAGCTAAAAATAAATATATGCCTGTAACTAATGAGAACACAGCGGATCATTGCCTACAAACAGCCTAATTGTAGTCCACGAGGAAAAAGCAAGTACAAAGGCACCTACATGAGCCCCATTAGAAACCAACACAGCCAAACTCAGCCATATTTAATCACAAGAGCCAACCAACCAACCAGTCTCATGCGGTCAAAGCCAATGCCACACAGAGTGAGCGCACTCAAGGAATACGTGGGCACACACACAAATCAGGATGCTACCCCAGGCCAACTACAGAGGCCTCCGTTTTAGCTAAGCACAAAACAAGCTACTCTTGATCACATTCAGGATCTAGTCAGCATACAAGAAAAGCCCCTGTCTCTGGCGAGCCCAGCACCTGGCAGATACTGAAGCTAAAATGATGTTCGTTTATCAGCCATTAGGGGAAAAGAAACAAAATCAGGAAACCTTTTAGATTAAGGTTATGCCAATGAATCAGTTCCAGCTTCTTTCCAGTGCCCCCTAATTACCTCGTCAAGATGTCTAAAGAGCAATCGATAGTAATTATCTGATTACTATAGATCTTCATTACATCCAAATTACCTCCCTGGAAGGGCCAGAAGACAACTCGCGGCACTGTGTGAGCTAATTGCAGATGCCACCTCTCAGGCACGCAGGGCACAGGGGCTGAATGACCGCTCCTGCCTGTGCAGTGCCAGCCCTGGGAGCTGCACTACTGTGGGGAAAAACATTGCAGCGTGATGCTGCACCATCCCACCCACCAAATCTGGGTGTCTAGTTTCAATATCCCACTTTTGGTAACCACCTTTGGTCACCGTAGCCCCTCTACATGCTCCAATTGGAGGACGCTGAGCAGCCTGTGCTTCTCCCATGCCGCTCAGCTAATTAATTCAGAATTAATTTGGAGCCACGATTTGCACAGCCCTTCAAACCTGAAGGCTGGCTCTAGCCATACGGCATTTTATTCAGAGCAGTGCTTATCCCGCTGGCTGGCGCCTCTATGCCCCCCTGAGCCAAAACCAGCTGTGCATTGCTTGCCCTGTGCAAAGGTGGCTCCAGCCACCCTCACTATCGCCTCTCACCACGCCTGTGGGCTGGGACTTAAGCCCTTACACTCTTCCTAGGACAGGGAGCTGTGTAAGGCATCGCTCCACCATCAGTGCCACCAGGACAGCCACAACCTGTATTTGGAAAGGGCTTCCTCATTAACGGGGCACAAGCAAGCAATGGCGTTCAGTTTAAGCTGTTGCCTTTCTTCATTAGAGGGAAAAATACGCATTAAATAACCGAGAGAAGATCACATGCCTGTCGTGCACCACGAGGCGGGTTGGGGGGTGCCACCCTGCTACAGCCTGAAATCATTCACTCGCCACCAGTGTGGGAGGCAGCCGTTTCCGTGCACCCGGCTGCTCAGCCCCGGCTATGCTGCCACACGCAGCTCACATACCTCAATCTCAAAGCCATACATGAATAAACAGAAGAGAATAAAGCAGCTGGATTTCTTTATAGTTATCGTATTATTACTTTTTTTTAAAGCAGACTAGCTTAGGCATCCCCCTCAAAGTGCAAAAATCAGCCTGAAAAAAAGAGGCCAGTGCTCAAGGTCACAGCTACCCTCGCCCTTCCCCAAAAAGCATTTTTGTGAGCATCCCACCCGGGCAGCTCAGGACCCTGCGGGGCAGAGGATGCTGCATGTGTGATCAGTGCAGAGCCCACTCTGCGCCACAGCCCCCAGGAACGCCTCCAAGCCCTTCCCACAATAACCGAGCCCTTATTGACGACAAGTCATTACACTTCCCTACTGTACTGCGGGCGCCGGCAGTTCGGCAGCAAATGCTTACTCTGCATGATGAGAGGAAAAGCCTGCTGGATAAATACAGCACTGTGTCTTATACCACAACTGCTTGTCTTCCTTTGGTGGCTGTTAGGACACATTCAGCATATGGTACACTCATTCCTAGTTGTAAATAATAACAGAATGCATTTGGTTGCCTATTAAAATAAACACATAATCCCCTACAAAGGCTCTTCCAAACCTCAGACATCCCAATGTGGGAACATCTCACGCTGCTCTTCCCTCCCCCTGCCATGCCTTGCCTGGAGCAGCCAGCCCCAAGACACCGACATGTTGCAGCTGGTGCCTTGCTTGCTGCCTACAACTTTCCCACCCTCTCCAAATTACTTTTAACCTCAGGACCCACTGGTCCAGCCCTGTCTGCACGCCTTGCCCCACACAGCCAGTGGTAATTGCCCGGTGAATGCCTCCCCTTCGGCAATATGGCAGTGCCAAGGACCTCCTCCCAGCATGGCTGGGGCTGCTGTGGTGCCAGCTGTTGTGAAAGCATGCAGCAAACACCACAATCTTTTTTTCTTTCTAAATAGTCATGATTTGAGTTTATACAACACCATCACACAGGGCTGGTTTGTACACACCGGTCCATGCTCAACCCTTTCATCTTACACATAACCCAGCAACCAGGCACTGTTCTGTGACCACCTGCACAGGTCAAGGGCACCCAACCTACCCGACCCTCAAGGCAGAATGGTGGGCACTTGTCTGAGGGTAAAGGCTGCAGCTCCAGCTGGGGGGTCTGCACCATCTACCCCAGCGGTGGCTGATGCCTCCACCCAGATGGAGCTGCTGAAGGGAGAGGCTGTGGTGCAGACCTCAGGTTGCAGGGAGTGCCTAGACCTCTCTCCTGGGACAGGGACAGGCAGCAGACCTGCCTGCAAAAGGTGTGCCCAGGTGGAGGACCTCCTGCAGCAGGTGGCTGAGCTGCAGGAGGCAGTGAGAAGGCTGCATAAAATCAGGGAGGCAGAGAAGGAGCTAGATAGCTGGTTCCAAGCGCAGTCTGCAGTGGACCCACAGCCCACGACCAAACAGCCCAAAACTCCCCCACTGGCACAAACAGAAGGGAGGGGGGCCAATAACAGACGGTTGCAACGACAAGGACCAGCAGGAGGAAGAGACTTCCCCCAAAGCCTGAGGTGCCCTTGCAGAACTGCTTCGCCGCTCTGCAGACTGAAGAGGAAAGACCCGTCACACCAGGAGAGACACTGGAGCTGAGTAAGGCAGCCCGATTTGCCCCCTGTATAACAACCAGGCGCAACTAAAAGGTGGCGGGTGATAGTAGTAGGTGACTCTCTTCTGAGAGGCACGGAGGCACCCATTTGCTGACCGGACGCACTCTCTAGAGAGGCGTGCTGCTTACCAGGGGTTCATATCAGGGATGTCACCAAGAGACTGCCAAGCCTCGGACAGTCCACTGACTATTATCCGCTGCTGCTGTTTCACGTGGGCACCAGTGACACAGCCAGGAGCAGTCTGAGGACTATCAAGAAGGACTACAGAGCCCTGGGAGCGGCGATAAGGGACTCAGGAGCGCAGGTAGTTTTTTCATCAATCCT